ACAACAACTTCCATGGTGGAATTATTTTTTATGCTGTGGGGGAATGTTCCCTTAACCATTCTAGTGAGTCTGCCTTCCTTTGTGTTCTCAAAGCACCTCTGTTATGGTCCTCAGCACACACCATATTGTAATTACTGGTCTGGTGTTAGTCACCCAGGTAAGACCACAAACTGCCGGAGGGCAGGGGTTACTCTTCATCATATGCCAACAACAAACTAAGTGCTCAAAAAAATGTTTGTACATAAGTGATGAATGCATAGATGAATGAAGAAATGATTTTGCTCTAGCCAGATGTTAGAAGATTGGATGGAGCAAAATGCTGCTCTCATAGCCCATTGGATGCTAAATGGGGACTTGCTGTGTCAATGGCGAGTGGACAGAAGGAAGAGTTAGCATTTGCCTCTGACTCGCATAAGTGCTCTTCCTAGAGCACTCTGGGATTTGCAGCATGCTCTGTTCCTGTTTCTAAGAACATGTCTTTAACAAGGGCCCCAAACAGAGTACCATACTCACCCTCCTTGAGCATTTTCTCTCTTAGTTTCTGCTCCAGTCTGCTTTGATGGTCTTCTAATTCAAGTTCTTGAGCCCTGGGTATAAGAAAATGCTTAAACTTTTAAAACACCAGGGTAACATGTAGAAACACTGAGTAATAAGCCCATTGGTGGTAGTTATTACGTTCTTTTTCCCCTTGTAAAAATGGAAAGTTTTGCTGGTGCTGGAATTATCAAAGCTGTCTAAGAGGATTGCTGAGATGTGCTGATCTCAAGAGATGATGAGGAGCAGCTGAGGAAAGGCCACCCAGGCCACACTTGGGAGAGGGCTTCCAGTGAGTGAATGGTGAATGAACTACTACAATGGTCCATGGAGAAACAATCACTGGCTGAAACTCTACTCTCTGTTCAGGACAACATAACTTTAAGTGTCATGTCTGACAACTCCCAAACATCTGACTATGGTGATAAGAGAAAGAGAAGAAAACAGGAATAAAAGGTTTTATGCAGGTAGGGCACAGCTGGGGGGAAGCCTTCAGGCGACAACACAGTCCAGGTAGATGTGACAGGAGAGGAAGGGAGAAGTGGGTAGGAGGAGCTTCAGATTACAGCGCAGCCCTGAGGAAGAGGTTGTACAGGTAATTGTCCTGGTGGGCAATAATAATGCTTGTAGGAAATGTTGAAAGAAGGGTCACTGATGATTTGGAATAGTCAAGTTTGTCTCCACCAATAAGTACAGCAAAGTCAAGAAGTGAAGAGGGTCTTGGTGAAGGTCATTTTGGAATTTCTTAAATCAGTGAGGTTTGGGGGTAGATTCCATTTATCTCAGAGGGTATGTGAGCACTCCATGGACTGGCCCATCTAGGAATATGAAAATTCCCAAATAGCTTTGGGAATGCAGTTCTGGAGTTCTCAGGAGACATGACAACTATAAACAGATGTGGGAGTTGTCAGAGGTGACAGTTGAAGACAAAAGGGAGGCTGAGGAAAAAGAATAGATTTACATACAGATCTTTGGGAATGCCTACATTTACAAGTACCACAAAAGAAGTGGAGTGCAGGAAGAAACAATCAAAAGGTTGGAAGTCAAAACCAAGAAATGAGAGAGGAGAGAGATGCCCAGAGTGTTCACTGAGACAGACACTGACGAGGATAAAGACTGAAAATAAGTCCCTGGGTTTGACACGGTGGTGCCCCCTGCAGGTCTGCATGTGTATCTGCTGTGAGTATTGGGGGTCACTTTGCTATATCCTGTAGACATTATTTTCACTACTTCTGCTTCTACGTGGGCCAAGGTCCCTAGGTTTTCCGATATTCTGCATTTTGCTATAACACTCAGCTTCTCTGTGCCAGTGGTGGCAGTTCATGGAGGTATTTCTTTAAGAGAACTTTCTGTTAGGATGGAAGTAGACTGAGTGTGGAATCTGCCTCCATGTCCCCAGTTTACTCTGAGCCAATGATTAGGCATAGCAGAGGAACTGTTGTTGTTAAGCGCTGTTGAATTGGTGCTAACTGGTAGCGATCCTGTATTTTCCAAGGAGTGATTGGTGAGTTTGAACCTCTGACCTTGTGGTTCAAACCGACTTTGCAGTCCAGTGCTTTATCCTACAGTGTCACACAGGGAGCAGAGAAATTAGAGTCAGGCTATTCTGCCCAACATGGGACTCCTCTGATAGATAATGTTCCCCATCAACCTGGCCAAGACTTTTTCCTTCCATTCATCTTCCTTGTCCCTGGTATCTGAACTGAACTGGGCTCTGAAGGTGTCTCCTCTCCCCTTCACAGGCATTTCTCCCACTAAGTCGCTTGTAGTTCTGATTTTATCTTAGCGTCTGCTTTCCAAGAGATCTGTATGGACACATCCATCACAGAGATTTCTTCTTGTTCCTCCAGGTCTTCCTCCACACCTTCCTGCCTATTTCTGTACAGGTAGGGCACGTTCTGTGAGAGGAGAGAAGAGGGGAATTGGCCATGCCTGAGCCTTGCTCTTTGACCTTTCCTAGAGCGTGGTCCCCAGCAGTGTGCTAACAAGGGACAGCTGCAGTCACTGAACAGCAGTAGCCAGTGCTGCCTCCCTGGCTCTTTCAGGGAGACACTAAGCACTGAACACTCTCATACAAACCCCCATAACATGCTACTAACACTGCACTATGTGTTGCTGTTCTGACTCCCTCTAAGCCCCTCTACTTCAATGACTTGGAGCAGAATAAAGACAGCATGGTCTCTGTATGAACAATGAAGTTGATTCCTAAAGCTCCTAGAGGAGAGAGGCTGTGACCTTGTTCATCTTTAGTCTCAATTGCCCAGCAAAGGGCCTGGCACACAGAATGTCTCAGTAGATTTTTGCTGAATGAACCTTCAATTCTGGATGTGGCTCAGTGCCGACGGTGTAATTGTACACATAGGGCTTTGTCATTAGGGGACATGGACACATCGCTTAGCTGTTCCGAGACTCAGTATATTCTATTTTTCATCAACTTACAAAATAGTAAGACAAAAAAATGATGAACTCTTATTCTCCATTCCTCATGTTTTACTTTCACACAGATGGAGCTCAATTAGGGTAACTCTGGATTCTTCAACCAGCACCAACGTTTACTCACTAGGATAAGCACTGGACTGCAAGGTCGTTTGAACCACAGGGTTGGCCACTCTTTGGAAACCTTATACAGGGTCACTACAAGTCAGAACTGACTTGACGGCACTAGACAACAATAACAATGTCCCCAAGCCACTGCCACTGAGCCAAATCCAACTCTTCACGACTCTTCAGGACTAAGTAGAACTGCTCCTAGGGCTTCCCAGACTAAATCTGCACAGAAGCAAATTGTCACATCTTTATTCCACAGAGTGGCTGGTGGGTTCAAATTGTTGACCTTCTGACTAGCAGTTGAGTGCCAACCATTGTGCCCCATCATGGCTCCAACTTCTACCTCAGGGGAGGTAAATTCGGGAAGTACAGACTGGGTAAACTCAGCTCACTCCTCTCTTTCTTCTCCCAAGATCAAGCTGCCTGCAGAAAACATGTATTCTTAATTATATCGGCCTTAGCATATGTCTGGAAGGAGCTCTGGTAGCATAGTGATTATGAATCAGGCTGCGAACCTTAGGGTCAGCAGTTGGAAACTATCAGCTGTTCCGCGGGAGAAAGATGAGGCTTTCTGCTTCCGTAAAGATCTACAGCCTTGGAAACCCTGTACAGGGTTGCTATGACTCGGAACCAACTCCACGGCACATAACAACAACAAGAAGCATATGTCTGGAGTCCTGGTGTGGCACTGTGGGTTAATGCGCTGGACTGCAAAGTCAGTTTGATCCACAAGGTTTGCAGTTCAAGCTCACCAAACTCTTCTTGGAACCCTATACAGGGTTGTTGTGAGTTAGAACTGACTCAATGGCACTTAACAACAACAAGAAGCATATGTCTAGAACAAGGTTTCTCAATCTTAACATTACAGACATTTTGGGCTGAACAATTCTAGTAGGGGGTGTGTTGTAGGATGCTTACTAGCATCCTTGGTCTCTACTCACTAGGTGTCAGTAGCATACCTCCCCAGCTGAAAGCATCCCCTGGGGCCAGAACTGTTCCAGCTGAGACCCACTGGTCTAGAGTCAACGCCCTGCAACCTAAGGAGACAGCCTTAAGTCAGTCTATTGCCTCTTATGATTAGGTTGTTATTGTTGTTGTTAAGTACTGTGAAGTCGGAAACAACTCATAGCGACCTTGCACAGGGTTTCCAAGGCTGTACATCTTTACGGGAGCAGAACGCCTCATCTTTCTCCTGCGGAACTGCTGGTAGTTTCGAACTGCCGACCTTCAGGTTAGCAGCCCGATTCGTAACCACTATGTTACCAGAATTCTGGGGTTTAGTTAGTGTAGTGGATGGAATGGTGACCCCCCAAAATATATGTTCATACCCCAACTCTCAGAAATGACCTTATTTGGAAAAATGTTCTTTGCATTTTTGCATGAGACATGCAGGGTTTAAATTCAATAACAAGTGTCTTCATAGGAGACAGAAGAGAGGACAGAGAGACAGAGGAGCCACAAGCCAAGTCATTATCAGGGCCACCATAGAGCCTGTGGAGGGAGCAGGACCCCCTGCTACACTGTGATTTCAGACACACCTCTAAAGCTGTAAGGGAGTAAGAACCTGCTGCTGCAAGCCACTTTGCTTGTCACTATTTGTTACTACAGCCCTAGGGAAGTAGTAGTTCAGTTAATAACCCACTCCGCTCTCACACCTAGCCTGCTAGCATCATCAGTAATAAAGGTGATACTTTTGATGGTCCTTCTATTGACTCAGTCATCTTAGTTTTCACCAGGCTCAGAAAACAGGCAGGGAAGAGGGGTAACATGTATTGTTGTTGTTGCTAAGTGCCGTCAAGTCGGTTCCAACCTATAGCATGTATTAGACCCCTACAAAGCCCCCCCCCCAAATTACCTCTCAGGGTTGGGATAAACATGAAATGAAACCACATAAGTTACAGCGCCAACTTGACTGATTGATAATAAACATTAGTATCTTCCCCTCCACACCAGCGGCGTGAACATTGACCTTCAGCTTTTGCAGAGTGTAGTGAGATGACCCTATCAGACTTCAAGGTCTCACTTACAGGGGACAGACAGATCTCAGTCCTTCACAGAATCATACTCAGGCACAGACTCCGCCATTGCAGAGCGTGACTGCTCTTTTAACACGGGCCTGCAGGACAGAGATGGATTGAAAATACTTTCTCCAAATGCCCTACAACGTAAGACCCATTACCTGAAATCAATTTCAGCCAAAGGACTCCACACAGAGAGAACACACAATGGAAGACTCTCTGTACTAATGCCCGCATTGTATGCAAGACATCAAATATCAATTTGCCTCAATCACCATTCTGTATGCACAAGGAGAAAAAATCCCTGGACTTCAACCTGGAAGGGGCATGTATCCCCCTCCCTTCTTTTGCTTTTACAACTTGCTGTTATCTGTGTTGCCTTACTTACTTGATCAGTAGCTCTGACTCATATCGCGTTAATTTATTCTTCTCCAGAACCAGTTTAAACCATTCCTGCAAAAGCTGTGCTTCATCATGTGCTCCTGAATCTGCTTAAGAAATCAACAGCAAATGGGTTAGATTGGTGTTTCTCTCCCCAACAGCAAACTGCTCTGGAGCCACTTTAGTGGGCAATGTTTGTAGCAAGATGACTTGGCAAGCAGCAATTCCCAGACACCCTGTTGCTGCCTCAAGGTCAAGGGTATGACAAAAAACCCTACCTTTACACAAGCTATGGGGAGGTCCTCTTGGACATTTAATGCATAAAGACTCCAAGGTCAGAATCATGATAATGTCCTGCTACAAATGACCCTTGTCCTTTATACTTGTCTGTCACCCATAAAACCTATTTGTGTTTATGCATTATATGCTCTTCCAAAAAAAACCAAAAACCCTAGCCACTGATTACGACTCCCTTTTCTTCCTTCTCCCCCAAATCAAATACCAACTGAGTGCCCAGGTGGCATGTGATTCTCTTTGTGAAGCAAGCAAGTTCATACCGCATTTTGCTGTAGAGCAGTGGCGTTCTTCATTTAATTTCTGCACAAAGAAATGCCAAATGACACAGAAAGTAAAAAAGAAAAAAAAATTTAATACCTTTAAGTCCCTTTGGGTGTGTTGGAGGTAAACCTCAAACCATTTGCCAATAAGTGAGTTCTGACTCATGGCAACCCTATGAGTATAGGATAGGACTGCACTCCATAGGGTTTTCGTTTGAAAGCAGATCACAAAGCCTTTCTTCCAAGGTGCCTTAGCATGGGTTCAAGCCTCCAACCTTTCAGTTACTAGTTGAGCACTTAACCATCCGCATTGCCCATAAACTCCTAAGACTTAGATTTGAAGTTTATTAAACAAAAATAACCATAAGAATATTAGCACTGCTGTTTAGAGACTGGACTCCTGGTGTGGCGCTGTAGGATAAGCACTGGACTGGAACCATAAGGTCGGTGGTTCAAAACCAGCTGCTCCTTGGAAACACTATACAAAGTTGCTATGAGTTGGAACCAACTCAACGGCACTTAACACCAATTTAGACACTAAGTATTAGATAGTAAATGTTTACATACTAAGATGTTAACATCTTGGAATATTTAAAAAGCAGCACCATGGCGGTGTCTCTAACTTTTACTCTGCAGTTAGAACAAAGGTTGATTGCAAAGTTTCTGGCCATTCTAGAAGGATTTGTACTGGAGAGTCTGTACTTCTAGAGAGAAGAAATAACAGACCAAAGTTTTCTGTGGCCTTGACCAAGCTGCTTTCATGTGGAAGAATGGAATTAAGAGCTAATGGACACGAGAAGATATATGCACACCAATGTTCATAGCAGCACTATTTACAACAGCAAAAAGATGGAGCCAGCCTAAGTGCCCATCAACTGAAGAATGGATAAACAAACTGTGG